CACAGGCTGTCTCTGGTCCCAAAGGGACCTCAGTGAAGGTCAGAGCTAACCATGCTGCACGGTCCAATTCTGTCCACTCTTTTGGACATCAGGAAAGTCATCAGGATGTCCCAAGTGCAATCCCGTGAGACACTCCCTTGTTGCACTGAGAGATGAGTAAGGTAAGGCAAACAAACGGATAAAAATATAAGGATAAATGATCCCAAACCACTTATCATTCCCCCAAGGGAGACTTGGTCTCTTTCACAAGTGGCAGCCAGACAAGCATGGGGCTGGATGACTGCGCCCTCGAAAGCTGACACACTTCACAAGGTTTGGGAATGGTCAGGTGATACTGTAGCTGTCTCCAATTCACCCACTAGGAAGGCAACTTTGTTTTCTTTCAAGTTGTAAGGTCTAGGAAATACTCAGCAGCCTCTGCTCCTCTGGAACCTGGACTTCCCCAGCCTACTTTGGTAGGATTTTATACCACGATCGCTGATTTTGATTGTCCAGGACGGAACTCAGCCTGGGGGCGGGATGAAATGAGTTCTTTTCCTTCAAATTCATTTCCAGTGATTGGAGACAAGAGGGTACATGTTGTACTGAAAAAGAAATCCTTTTGCATGCTCACTGTGTGCAGCATGAAGAGATAGGACTCTTGTATTCTAACCAACGTCAAAGACAGAGGATAGGGATCTAACAGGGATCTAAGAAAGCACAGAGCAAAGGGGATTATTGCTGAGTGGCAGCACCAGCCCAAGAGGAAGAGGAGCATGAACATATAGAGCTTCTCAGGGTCAGACAGACCAGGACCTATTGGACAGACTCAATTCTAAGGGTCACACTCGACAAGTCCCTCAAGGTGGAGAGGTGACCGGGGTGGCTTGTAGGCTTTACAGAATGATTCACACAGAATGGGCAATAGGAGGACCAAGAAGCTGCAACTGATACTAACAGTGGCCAGTGATGCAAGGACTGGGGCAGGGATTACTCATATTTGTTACATTTTCTGAAACGGAGGCTGGCTGAGCCGCCTCGGTGTGGGAGCAGAGGTCAGCTCTGAAGCCACACTGCCATTCAATGGACCTGGGAGGGTGGGAACTCTGTATTTCTGACTCATCCTCTTTCCCCAAGTGAGCACTCAAAACTGCAAAGATCTGCCAAGGAAGCAAAAATTTGAGTTTATCCCAAGGTTGAAAACAAAGAAAAAAGAAAACAAAGGAACTTAAAATCACCATGTCACAAAAGGCAAGCTATTCTTTTTTTTTTTTTTAATAGTTGAATAGTTTATTTTTATTTTTTTCCCATAATTTTATTGAGAAACAAATAGCAATGAGACAGTTTCAAACCAAATTGGTAGGACAGTTTCAATAATTAACACATTGCATACATTCTTCCTAGTGGTTAATTGCTGTACAAGATACGGACATGATATCCTATTTACAAACACCATTAGAACAAATCCCTCTATTCATTAAGAGCATGTAACTATATATCTATCCTAACTATTTTGAATACACAGATACAAAATGGACATTCATCTGTATCCCCTTTTTTTTGTTAAGTTCCATTATTTGAATATTATAAGTGTGTTAACTCAGCAAAATATTCTAAAAGAGTCCAGTAGCCCTTAATAGTACTGGGTCTTCCGCTTGACTGGCAATGTCAGAAATTGTTGACCTGAGTCCCCTACAGCTCAACATAACAGCATGGCTTTACTTCTTATATTTTGTTTTTATACTTTTCTGCTGGATGGTTAAGACCAAGGTAAAGCAAGACCTGTGCAACAAGAGTTGTAGCTTTTGGGTCTGAGAAGGTCAGTGAAATACCCTCAGGATTTATCCTGAGATCCTGTACCTCAGATTGTAGAACCTTTGTCAGTGTCAGCCATGTGGATGAGTCACGGCATTGCTTGGCCAATGTGCTCTCTGTGAAAGCCTGAGAGAATGTTTTCTCCATGTGACTCTCCTTAGGCACACTCTACATCATTGATAAGGCAAGCTATTCTGAAAGACTAAAAATGTCACTTGGAAATAAGGCCCGTGGGGAGAGGGGACCACACAGAAATGGGTCAGGACACAATGGAGAGAGGAGGAGCGGTAAACACAGCAACCCACTCGCCACACATCTCAGAGGAGCAGGCTCCTGCACTCACGGGCTCTGTAATACCAGACGGTCTATTTGTTCACAATATTAAAGGTTATCTAGAATTAGCTGCAGTAAGGAATCGCCAGTTGCCTGAAGAGTGGACACAGAAAGGCTGCATCCAAAGATGGCCTGTCACTCAGGAGGCTGGAGCTGCTGGGCCTTCCTGTTGACCACTGTCTTGCAAAAAGTGCAGAAAGGGGAGGGGTGGCTTTAGTCATCTGCTGTCATTCCTTTCATTGGGTCCTTTTGTCTCATCTCATCCAGCTGTCTCTTTTTCTCTTCTTCCATCCTTCGAATGTCACCCATAGTCAGGTCAACCCACTTATCGAGCCAACAGAACAGCTGCCTGTGGAAATTTGTAAACAGACGCCTCTCTTGCTTGCGTATAAAGTTCTCCGCTTTGTTCTGCAGGCCTCGCCACTCGAGTTTGACAGTAACCACTTTGTCTGCCCACATATACGGGCCATCTTTTCGATTTACAAGTTCTTGCTGCCAATTTGGGTCTAAGGGTCCTCGGCCTGTTTTGACAGACTTACATTTTGCTGGGTCTTCCTCTGCCTCGTAATCCTTACGAAGTACTTGGCTTCGATCTGCAATGTCTACATATATATATTTCCATGTCCCAGGCTCCAGCTGATGCTCATTTTCCTGGGTGCCGGGGCTCAATTCTAATCAGAAAATCTTTCATGTACTCATTTGTAGTAATGGTTCTACATAAAGGGTAGACATTCCATGCTTTCTCATGTATATTCAATGCTGCCTTTGGGGCCAGCATTTGGACAGATATGAGTACTTCACTGTGCAAGTGGTAGATCTTGAGGCTGTACTGGCCCTTCTCTCCAGCCTTCTCCGAGGGCTCTTCCACCAGGACCTGTGTGTCTTCACTACCACCCGTTTTGTTTTTATTGGCCTCAGCCACAGAATACAGCTGCCCTACTTGATACTCATCTGCGGACACAGGCAGGATGATACGATACTCCATGGGCAGCACCAGGTCGCCTCGCAGCTCAGTGGCTGCCCACTGCCTACCTGCTTCCTGGTGGCCACTCCCCCTGTGGCCTGGCCTGGCCCGGCCCTGCTGCCTGTGCACCTTCCTCTTGATCTGCTCATTCCCCTGCTCTTGCTGCGGTCGCCACAAGGCTTCTGCTATCTGGGCCTCGCCACCTCCCATGCCACTTCTGAAGCTGCCCAGAGCTCAGGTTTTGCAGTGCTGCAGGGGAGCAGAGTGTTTCTCCCAATTTTGTTTTTGCTCTTTTCTCCTGTTAACTTTTTCATACCAGGGAAACCATGTGATGTCAAGCTTGTGTGCCTGATGTATTTCATTTAATGTTATAGTCTCAAGGTGCATCCATTTTCCTATATGGACCTGAAGTTTATCTTTCAGAGGGGAAGAGTGGTACCTTGTGGTGTATAGATGCCACATTTCTTTATCCTTTCATCTACGGATGGGCATATAGGCTGTTGCTAAGACTTAGCTGTTATGAATTGTGCTGCTATAAACAAGAGAATAAACACGTGTGCCTGTTCGTGATATGCTGTTTTTTAACTTTTGAGGGAAGATATCCAAAAGAAGAATAGCTTAGTCAATGGAATTTCTAGTTCATTTTATTTATTTATTTATTGCTTGTGGTACTGGGGATTGAACTCAGGATCTTGTGCTTGCCAGGCAAGTGCTTATTCTACTGAGCCATCTCCCCAGTCCTCTAGTTTAGATTTTTGGGAAATCTCTATATTGATTTCCATGGTAGTTGTAGCAGTTTACAGTCCTGGCAATATGAAGAAGTGTTTCTTTCTCCACATAGCCTTGACAGCATTTGCTGTTGGTTGATTACATGATGGTGGCCATTCTTTCTGGGGTGAGATGGAATCTATCTTATTTTAATTTGCATTTCTTGAATGACTGGCAGTGTTGAACATTTTTTGATGTATTTTTGGCCAGTAAGATTTCATCATCTGAGAAGTGTGTATTCATTTCAGATGTGCATTTTTTTAATTCAGTCTTTCAATTTGGGGGGCCTAATTTTTTCAGTTCTTTATATATTCTAGATGTTATTCCTGCATCTGAAGAATAGCAGGCAAAAAATACCATTTTTTTCTGTTTTACAAGTTTAATGTGATCCTATTTGTTGATTGTTGGTATTATTTCTTAAACAACTAGAGTTTTATTCAGCAAGTCTTGGCCTACACCTATGTCTTCAAGAGTTTTTTTCAGCAGATTAAAGGTTTCCATTCTAATGTTGAGATTTGATCCATTTTTATTTTATGGTGAGAGATGTGGCTCTAAATTCAACCTCTACCATGTGCATAGCCAGTTTTACTAGCACCATTTCTTAAAGACGCTATCTTCCCTTCAGTGAAGGGATTTGGCCCCTTTGTCAAAGACTGCATGAATGAATGTGCTTAGAGTTGCTTATGTACTTCTTATTCTGTTCCTCTGATAGACAAGTATTTTTTTTTTTTTTGCTAGTACTGTACTGCTTTTATGACTGTAGCTTTGTTGTATAACTTGAGTTCCACAATCGTGATGAGGTAACTTGAAGTCCTTTCTTTCTCTTGTTGCCCAGAATTGCTTTTGGTCTTTTAGATAGTTTCTGATCCCATATGAATTTTAAGACTGCTTTTCTCAGTTCTGTAAAAGTTGTTATTGGTATTTTAAGATTGCATTTAATCTATATAACAGTTTCAAAGATGTAGCCATTTTAGCTATATTCGATTCTACTTATTCAGGACTGGGGTTAAGTTTTGTTTTCTGATATCATCTTTAATCTTTTTCAACATACTGTAGTTTTCTTTATAGTAGTCTTTCACTTCTTTGGTTAGATTAGTTCCTAAGTGTTTCATTCCTGTTGATGCTATCGTGAAAGGCATTGTTTCCTTCTGAGTGAGTTTGATTTTGAATACAGAACACTACTGATTTTTGAGTGCCTGTATCCTGCTGTACTACTGAATTTATTTATTAATTCTGGGATTCTTTTGATGGTGTTCTTAGGGCCTTCTGTGTAGATCACACCATCTGCACATAATGATCATTTAACCGTTTCTTTCCCTATACATAGCCTTTTTATTTCTTTCTCTTGTTTAATCACTCTAGCTAGTATTACAAGAACTATATTGAGTAAGAGTAGTGACAGTTCATGTCCTTGTCTTATTCTTGATTTTAGAAGGAAAGCTTTCAGCTTCTGTCAATGAAGTATGATATTAGCCTTTGGCTTGTCATCAGTGGACTTTATCGGACTAAGATAAGGACATGCTATTCCTATTTTCTTGAGAATTTTTAAAAATAAGTCATGAATAGATGTTGAACTTTGCCAAATGCTTTCTATGTGTCTATTGGGATGGTCATATGGTTTTTGTCCTTCTACTTATGTGATGAACTACATTAATTGATTTGCATAAGTTAAACCCTCCCTACATCTCTAGGATCAATCCTACTTGGTCAAGATGTATGATTTTTTGATAATTTTCTGCCAGGATCTTATTAAGGATTTAAAAGAAAGAAATATCATGAAAGATATTAGTCTCCAGTTCCCTTTTTTTTGGTTGGGTCTTTTTCTGGTTTTGGTATCAGGGTAATGCTTGCATCCAGAAATCAATTTGGCAATACTGCTTTCATTTCAACTCATTAAAGAATTTGAGGGATATTGATGTTAGATTGTCCTTAAAGTCCTTGTACAATTCAGCAGTGTATCTGTTGGAAACTGGGCTTTTCTTAGTTGGTAGTTTTTAATCATTGCTTCTTCAATTTCACTGAATCATATAGACTTATTTAAATTTTTTATATCTTCTTGATTCAGCTTTGGCAGTTCATGTATCTAAGAACTTATCCATTTCTTTTTTAGCAGTTTAAAATTAATTAATCAATTAATTAATTTATGTGGCACAAGGTCTTGCTACTCAGCTTGGACTCATAGTGCTTCTCCTGTCTCAGCCTCCCCGGCACTGGAATTACAGACACGCATCACCACTCCTGGTTTCAGAGCCAGCATGGCATGTCTGGGGTTCCAGGGCTGGCACAGCATGTGGGATTGAACTCTGGACCTTGCACTTGCCAGGCAGGCGCTTAGATCGCTGAGCTAGTCCCTCCAGTTTTATTTGAACTTACCATTTGATTAGCGTGTAGGTTCTCAAAGTAGTTACTAATGTCCAGTCTTGAGAGTTTTTTTTGAGACAGCACAAAATTAAGAGTTCGCATGACAAATATCTCTTTGGGATGTTTGGGAATCTTTGGGAATCTCTTTGGGATTCCAAGAGATGGAACTGCTGTGGTGGAAGAAAACACTGGAGCAACTCCGAAGAAATAGGCTACCAGAGAGCTTATGTCTGTCTTATACCCTGAGATGGGTCTCTCAGGCTTTGATTGTGGTGTGTCAGAAGTTTTGCTGCAAGAAGTGTGAGGCCATTCTAGCTGGCAACACATTGTGCTAGCCATGGGACTAAGCTTTGGAGCTACTGCTATGGAGTACGAATGGAGTCTACCTTCTTCTCAGGCTCGGTGGAGGTGTGGTTCTCTGGTCACATGGAACCCAGAGGGCTCTGCTACTCCTCCCTTTATCCCAGTAGATTCCTCTGTTTGAGGAAGTGTTGGGGCTAGTCATTTATATCTGTGCAGAAATGTGCCTCCTGCCATATCATCTTATTCTTTCATTCCTTTTTTCCTTGGCCTTTGAAGGCCAAGGTCAAAAGGCTGTTGTGTTTAGAGTCTTTTTTTTTTTTTCCTTAGATCAAGGTCCATTTTATGAATGTTTCTATAATCTCTTGAAATGTATACAAGCAGGTGTTACAGTTAAATCTCACACTGAAGACTAATGCTATTTGGCCTAGGGAACAGAAATCTGAGTAACTTTTATCCTTCATATTAGACAGTATTTTAACAGTTCACATAAACCTCGTGCACAGTCTAGATTTCAGCATCAGTGTCCTTCTTCCCTCTGCAGGAAAGTGAAATTAGTAAGAATTAAATGAATATATTGACATATTAGAGTCCATTTAAAAACAGATGATAAAGCACCTCTTTCAGACAGTAGCTAGAAGCAATGCGGGTCAGTCCCTTAGCTGTCACTTCTTAGTGCCGCCTTACTGCTTCTTGACACAATCTGTTGGAGACGCCGCTTTAGGCATAGGGCAAATATAGAGAGAGATTTGGTTCTGCGGTTGTCTTCTAAGAGTCTGGATTTGAGTCCAGGTTCTGTCCCTGATAAGTTCTGTGACCTAGGAGATGTCCCTTTTTCTCAGACTAGGTTTTTTTAAAAAAATCTGTTATGAAAAAGAGCAACATTCTAAGATATACTTTTGTGATATTGTGTTTAAAATGAAAAGGGGTTCAGTCTGGAGCACTTTGTATGTTTTATTCTCCTAGAAGTCTTTGGTGCACATTATTGTAGTAAAGACCTTGAAAAATACTGTAGTCAGGAACATACCAACTCTGATCTCACTGACATTTTCCAAAGCCATTTTGCCGCATGATCTTTTCCCTTTCATAGTACAAATCATCTTCGTATGGATTATTAGGACAAGCTGAATGAGGTGATCCCCTGGGAGTCGTTTCAACTTTAGCTGTCTTTTTTTTTTTCTCTTTCTCATGTTGCACGCATTCAGCATTTCCTTCTGTAGTTTGTGTACCAAATGTAAGAGAGAATGTTCGCTTTTGGAGCACAGCCGTGCCAGTCAATAGTAACCTGCACAGTACAGGTAAGTGACAGGACTAAAGTTATCCAGAACCATCTGGATAACATAAACATGTGTGTGAATGTCTGTCTGTCTGTCTGTAAAGGAGACACTAATATTCAAAGTCTAAAAATGTGCTCTGTATCCTTCTTACTGCTGCCAGTACCATTTCCCTCACTCTGTTCGCTGGCAGTTTTTTTGCTTGGGAATGATATTCTATTTTTCTCACCCAAATGGAAAGAAAAATTTGGAAGCAGAGCCTTTCGTTGCTTGCTAAGCAGCTGAGCCAAACAAGACTCATGGCTTGGAAACCAGAAAGTTTAGAGTCTACTCCTGCCTGTGCTGTGAACTCGACCTTGATCCGGAGCAAGGCACCTGCCCAATCAAACCTTATCCAATCAATTTCTCCATCTAAAAATTAGAGCAGTTGAGCCGGATTGGTCTCTTATGTTGTCACTCAGCATGAGTTGTGATTTCTTTCTGGTTAAATGGCATCCAAAGTCTGCT